ACATCCCGCCCAAAACAGTGATCATAGCCATCTCTCCCTCTGAGTTGAGACACGAACAGGGGAAGAATGCAGTTAAGTAGGGACCATAGAAATTCCTCCTTCCCAATCAAGACACAAGGCTGATGGGCAACGTGATGGCTCCGTGTGACATATTCTGCTTTTCTAATAGGTGGGTCTTTTGACTTCCATGTCCCATCTGTTAACCTGACAGCTGGTTCTTTTTCCAGTGCCTTCTGCTTAAATAAGGAGCACTTGCTTTCAGCTGGAGGGGTAAATATTTTACCCACTGTCTTGCCTTTGGGATAAATATGCAATATGGGTGACTCTGGGTCAGAGTGTATCCTTCTACCCCCTTCCTGCTAGACGAAAAAGTGAAGAAAATCATTGTGCCTCTCCCTTCCAGGCCTGTCACATGTGTGCCAAAGCTGTCTGCTTCTGGCTAAATGCAAAGTCTCACAGCAACCCGTACCTAAACACTTACTGGTGCGTTTTCTTCCCCACACTGAGCTAATGAAGAAGGCATCTTAACAACCACTCCCCCAAAAGCAGTCACATGCTTCCATAAATAAACTAACTAAAGGTAAATAAAATTTAAAAAACATATTTTGAATGGGTAAAATTCTTTACTTTTCCAAATCCTGGAACTATTTCCCCCCACTATTTCTCAAGACATCTCTTCCATTACTAAGCCAGAATTCTCTCCCTTGCGTTGGGCTATGTTTTTCCTCTCCATAGCACCAATGACCTTTAACATCCGATATATTTTAATTATTTTGTTTATTGTTGGTTCATAGCATCTCTACTAGAATTAAGGTGACTATATTATTTATCATCTAAACCAAGAGGTTTGGGAGAGTGAAAAGGAGCACTAATACAAATTATGCCAGGACAAAACTGAGACATTCTCGAGGAAACACAGCTGTGGTTGCCCTACCTACAAGGCAAGTTCCAGAAGCTCGGGGACTTGGGTGTGACTTTTCTCACACCGGTGTCTCTACTGTCTAAGACCATAAGCACAGACACCCATGAGATGCTCCGTAAATAGGTGCTGAGTCATGGTGGCTCCGGGCATGAGCTCTGAGTGGATGGCAGGGGTTCAAACTCTGGCTCCCACCCCAGTGAATTACATCATTTCCCTGCGGTAATTTCCCTGACCACCATAGGCTTCAATTTCCTCATCTGTCAGATGGACACCAATGGGAGTACCCACCTCGAACAGCTGTGTGAGAACTAAATGAGCTCATCCACAGTGAGTGCTGAGCACAGGGCCTGCACACGGCAAGAGTGGGCACTCCAAAACATTGGCTGCCAGCATCACTATTGGTCATTCCAAGACTGTCTGAAGAAGGTGCGTAGAGCAGATGGTTATGACACTGCCTACCCAGCCTTAATGTGACAACAGTAGAGGCCTCCTGTGTCTACAGGATGCCTGGTTGTGCCTGGCCGACCCTGAGATGGGCCCCTGGCCTGAGCCTGGCCTAGAGGAGCTCTCACTTGGGACTGAGGAGCAACTTTTTTCTAGAGATCAAAGATGTGGAGTCTGTAGTCCTCATGCGATCGACAGTCACACTTCCCATTCTACAGAGAAGGCAAGTCTACAAAAAGAAAATGAGAGCTGCTGAGGGCAGAGGAGGGAGCTGGGATACCTGAGGCCCTGGCTCCATCTCTGCCTCCCTGCTCACTGCTCAACCGACCCCTCTGAGGTCCTATGAGCCAGGAACCTCCTCTGTGGCCCCAGCCACTTCAACCTGCCAATTGTAAACAGAAGGGTCCTGACAAGGGCTGTGGTAGGCAGATTCAACACACAAATATACAACTGATTTAAAAAAAATTTAAGGGGGCTGAGGAGGAGAAGGAAAGGATGATAAATATTCACTGGTGCTCACCCTTTGCCAGGCACCATAGGGAGGAATCTGCCGGCACTACTATGTGGTGGGTACCATATTTATTCCCATTTTATGGATGAGACCGCTGAGACTCAGACACCCAAAGGAACCTTCCCAAGGCCACACAATTAATTTACTGGGTGTCACTGCTGGCTTCCTAGCAGCCCTTCTATCCTCGGTGATTAATTGAAGCCAATCAACATATGGCACTCTCCTGGGGAATGTCAGTAGACCAGGAATGGGAGCATGTCCTACATTAGCCCAGTTAGACTGGAGAGGAGCACTTCCATTTCATGGCTGGGGGTTTTGCCTCTCCTGCTTAGGGGAACCAGCCGTAGAAGAAAGCTAAGTTCTTTCTTCTAAGCAAAGAAGAAAGAGAAAGTTCAAGAGTTCTCTTACTCTTCAAGAGAGAAAGCTGATGTTAAAATTGGCACTGTGGTAGAGTAGTCAGATAAAATACAGGCTGCCCTGTTCAGTTTGAATTATAGATAAACAATGAAAAATGTTTTGGCATAAATTTGTCCCAAATATTGCATGGGTCATACTTTTTTTTTTCTTAAGGAGGCTCCATGCCCAGCGTAGAGCCCAGCATAGGGCTTGAACACAGGACCTGAGATCATGATCATGACCTGAGCTGAGATCAAAAGGCAGATGTTTAATCGACTGAGCCACCCAGGTGCCCCAAGGGCCATACTTTTATACTAAAAAAGTTCTAATTGTCTATCTGAAATCCGAATTTCTCAAGTGTCCCGTATTTTTTTAAAATTTATTTATTTAAGAGAGACAGAGAGCGTGTGTATGCACACAAGCACGGGGGCTCAGCGTGGAGCCCAAACGCCGGGCTCAATCTCATGACCTTGGGATCATGACCTGAGCCGACGCTTGAGTTGGACACTTGGCAGACTGCGCCCCTCTAGGCGCCCCCCCCCCCAGGTGTCCTGTGTTTTCACTTGCCAAGTGCGGCACAATGGAGAGAAGGAGTACACACAATGGAGAAGTAGGAAGCACTACCTCTGAAATTCTGGTTCTGCAAGGCCATTGATTTCTTTACTGTTTAAACACTTTAGAATTTCAGTCGCCTGTACCCCAACCTATCCTATTTCATGCAGCAAGTCAGAGGTTCCAACCCAGGCAGGAAGGATACAGAGGCAAAGTCACACCCACGTACAAATCCCAAAGGGACAGAAACTGAACACCATATTCAAATCTAAAAAGCCAACGCTTAGGACATTGAACTTGTTTTCTCAGAGCTGTACGAATGCAGCTTGACAGACTTACTGGAATTCTTCAGATTCTCCTCAGTCAATGTAAATTTTTTATTATAAAGTCACGGTACGTGAATTCAGTTAAACTGTAAAACTCCTCCATGAATACTAACAAACTCAAAAACCTCAACAAAGATGACTGTTCATAGACACCAAAAACACAAAAACATCTAGCAATTCCAGATTAAGGAGCCCAATTTTTAGACACTCATGATAAAATTACATCCTTGTAATTTTGTTTAGAAAAAAATTAGCTCCATAGCAAAATTTGACTTCAGGTCAAACCTCAAGCATTATAAAATAAATAAAATAGGAAGAGAATATAGAATGAGCAAAACTAAATAACCAAATGGGTAACCATAGGGCTGAGTTGCGTTGCAGTTTAAAAGTCCCGTATGTGTGTTTGTATGTGTGTGTGTGTCTTGGGCATACTATTTACTCAGTATCAAAAATCTCAAGGAAATGGACCCAACGAGTTTATGTTTGATGTCAGGTATATCGTCAATGAACAAAAATAGGATGTTGAGTTAGCCATTAGAGCTATGAAGAGACAAAGCAATTCCTGTATCTTTATTTGCATCTACCAGTTTTGAAGCCCTGTTCTGGGGTAGAGGCTTCTCCATAACGTGGAACACACAGCATTAACATCACCATCATCTGGGCTCCCTTCAAGCAAATAAAAAGCTGTAATTCAGGGCATGTCAGTAGAGAACAATTACAAAGTTGAGGAAAGGTCTGACAGAGATATATTTGGAAAACAACAACATATATATGTATTACACACCTGGATTAAAAGAAATATGATTTATGATATTCCTGAACATAATGTTATGAAAATCTTTTTTTTTAATATTTTATTTATTTATTTGAAAGAGAGAGAGAGAGACAGCAAGAGAGGGAACACAAGCAGGGGGAGTAGGAGAGGGAGAAGCAGGCTTCCCGCTGAGCAGGAAGCCCGATGTGGGACTCGATCCCAGGACCCTGGGATCACGACCTGAGCTGAAGGCAGACGCTTAATGACTGAGCCACCCAGGCACCCTGTTATGAAAATCTTAACTGTCCCCAAATTAATCTAGAAATTTAACAAAGCTTCAATCAAAATACCAATAGGTTGGTTGGTTGGTTTTGGTGGAATAAGAGAAAGGCTTGATAAAGTTTTGTAAGTTTTATCTGGAAAAAGTAACAAATAAGAAACATGTGAATAGCAAGAGCAAGGGAAGGAGACTACCCAAACATATGTCACAAGTATTGTAAAGCCAAAACCATTAGAATAATGTGGTACAACCCCGGGACTACACAGGAAGCTCCATGGAACAGAAAAGAAAGTTCAGAAACAGATCCACAAATATATAAGGATTTGTTCAACGACACAAGTATCTAAAATCTATGGGGAAAAAATGGATTCACCTATAAACAACGTTGGCTACCATTTTAGTAGAAAAGAACATGTGAGTTTTGCTGGTGAGAGGTTTTAAAAGCCTGAAGTGGTAGAGGCTAAATGGGAGAACAGAATCCATCCATAACAGTATGCTAAAGAGTGATAGCCCTGAGCTCCCAACTCATGGCTCCTGACAGGATTCCCAACAAGAAAGGGAATGCTGTCAACTGGTGTGCCATCTTCCCCTTCATTGGACCTCCCTGGGTTTCCGTCCACACCAGCCCCGCACCGCCAACCCTTCTTCTCAGAGAGCATTTCTCTACCACCCACTCCCCCACTCTGTAACACAAAAGGATTCTGGGAAGCTAAGAGAAGTTCTCTACACAATTTGGATTCCCTGATTCCTCCAGTCATTGTAAGGTATCAGCTTGAACAACCCAAGAGTCACTAAACTTCAGGAATAAGTCTTACCTGTTTCCTCTTTTCAGGGGGAAGTGACGGATCTCCATCCTAAAAAGAAACAAATGTTACACTTTACTTAAAAAAAAATACGTGCTTAAATTTAAGGAACTGAACCAAACTCTGAACTAAATTCCGACCCTCCCACTCCTGCCCCCTGAAATCAATAGTGTGCTGAACCAAATTCAAATATACTTTCTTTTTAACATTTTCTTTTTTATTTGAGAGAAAGAGAGAGAGAGCATGAGTGGGGTGGGGAGAGGGAGAAGCAGGCTTCCTGCTGAGCCAGGAGCCTGACATGGGGCTCCATCCCAGGACCCTGGGATCATGACCTGAGCTGAAGGCAGATGCTTAATCGACTGAGCCACCTGGGTGCCCCTCAAATATACTTAAAAAAATTAGGTATAAACTGAACCAGTTATTTTGGAAAAACCTCTAAGAAATCAGTTCCACTTAGGACCAAACCTATATACTTTCTAAAACCATATGAATCAAGTAAATGCATGAATAAACTGGATTTATCAAAATTGCTTTTGAGCAGAGCCAAAACTGAGAGAGTATTTCATTTTGTTTGAGTTGAATCCCTCTTTTAAATAGTTAGAACCAAAGGAATAATAGTGGACATGCACATGCTTGAGTTTTCTCTATGGGCTGAACAATTTTGGGGGGGTGGTAGGGAAGAGGGGATAGGATATGCTCAAAATAAAAGAGAATTAACTGAGAACTTGCACTCCTATCATACTTTCTGTCTTAAAAGGATTCAATCCCCTCCACCTTCTGGTGCCACCTGGAATAAAAATAGCTCAGGTGAACGTATAAATGCTCAGTTAATGAGCACGCTTCTCTCCGATGCTGCCCGAATGTAAGTCAACATTATTTTGACCCGCGGAATCTTCCTATTCTATTTCTGCTCCAGGACAGTTCAATGATCCCAGCACAGACAGCTAAATGTTAGCCATTGGGTCGGCTCTCAAAAACAGAGATCGTATCCGTGAGAGAAAAAAGTATAATGCAGAATAGTGCTCTGCTATTGGTACCCTCCATCTCAGTATAATCTGTATCCTTAAAAATCTCACCACATGAAAACCCAGAGAGAATCTAAATGCCTGGGATAAGGGAAAGGTTAAAGAAATTATGGAAATGTTACTATGCAACTGTTTTTAAAGATGAATTAAATTTGTATGTACGGCCTAGAGAGATGACCCAGACAAAGTACTGAGTGAAAGGTGAGTGCTGGAACAACGTTGACACAGTGCTGACAAACAGCACTCTGCAGCGATGGAAACGCTCTGTATCTTACTGTCCAATACAGTGGCCATCTCAGAAATCTTCTATATCCACGTAATCCCATACGGTAGCCAATGGCCACCTGTGGGGATTGAACCCATGAAATGTGCTGAGACTGAAGAACAGAGTTTTCAATTCTACTGAATTCTAATTAATTTCAAATGAAATTTAAATAATCACATGTAGCTAGTGGCTTCTGGATTAGTGCAGATTTATAATACGAATCCTCTTTAAAAAGCCCCATAGAGGGGCGCCTGGCTGGCTCAGTGGGTAGAGCATGCAACTCTTGGTCTCCAGGTGGTGAGTTCTAGCCCCACCTACCCTGGGTGTAGAGATTACTTAAAACAAAAAAAAAGGAAAGAAAGAAAGAAACAAAACAACAACAACAAAATGATAAAAAAGCCCCATACAAATAAATTAATAAGGAGGCATGTACAAACACGTGTATATGTGTGCATATTCCATAGGTGCTGGGGCAAGCAGTCTGGAAGCACAGATACACCAGCCAGTGACTGGGGCTGGGTTGTGGAGGAAACAGAGGTGACAACTTACACTTCTTCATTTTTCCACTTTGGGAACTGTTTGAACGCGATCCTTTTTTTTTTTTTTTTTAAGAACTGGCATGTTAAAATCCTCACTTTTTTTTTTCTTTCTAAATTTTAATTCCAGCGTAACCCACTTTCTATCTTAATGAGGGCACAAGAACATTGCCGTGACGTAACACGTACTATCAGCTCCCGGTACTTCTTCTTCAGGGACTGGTGGCGCTCTCGAAGCTGATTGGCCATGAGTTTGTACTGGTCCCTTTCTTGCTGGCATGTGTCCAGCTCCTTGGAGAGGATCAGCAGGGCTTCCTTTTTACTCTCCAGCTTTCTTTTACACACTAGGTACTGCAAAACAAACAAATCCAAGCAGCTGGTCAAAAACGTCAATAGACCTCCGTTTAACACACCCTGTGTTTCACGCAACCTGCCCGGTTGGTTTTGTTTTGTGGAGTTTTTTGTTTTTAGAGAACATATACCCAGAGACATTGGTCCGTAATTGACTTACGCAGTAAGCATACAATATGCAGACTGCTACAGTACCAGATGTACGCCCCTCACCACCGTACCAAAACCTTGGGTGTTGATGAACTTTAGCAAACTGGGATAAACGGATAAAATAACTTAACTGACATATAAGTAAAAAAGCAAAATTTTTTAAGTTACATGGATAGATAGATAGTTGGACCCAAATTTTGTTTTAAAAGGATTTATATATTCAGGTAAGATTATGTAAAATTTTTTAAAATTCAATGAAATGATATACACAGAAAGATTATTCAATACAAATTTTGTAAAAATATTGGTAACAACTCTTGACACGTGTTTTTAACAATTTTATTCTTTGTGCTTTTCCATGTTTTCTAAATTTTCTAGAAGAAACCCATATGGCTATACTATAATAAAGAAATACAAAAAGTATTATTAGAAATAACTTAATTGAACTATAAATCACTGCAGTAGATTTCACTTGCCCATTCAACCCAGCAGACATTTTCTCACCTGAGAATGTTTGTTCACTACCTCCACCAAGATGTGTACAACGTTCATAATTCCAATGCAGGCACCCACTACCCAGGAACCAACTCTGTTTAGCCACACTTTGATTGCCCCCAAACAGTTGGGAGTACTTGGCTGGAACTCTTCCTCAGAGAGACAGGATTTCTTTGTCCCTCCTTCTCCCCATCCCCCACCCCTCACACTGACCATGAACCACCCTCACCTGATAATCACCCACCACATGGGCCAGTGTGAGCCTGACTGGAACTCTTTACTTTTACTGGACATACTGCACCATCTGGGGTTATTCACATATGTGAAATGTGGCATTAAATACCTTTTGAATTTGCCCCGTAAAAGACCAAATTCAGAGCATTCATGAAAACAATTTATAGTTTCATTATACACGCTGACGTGAGCACTTTGTCATTATGGACGCTCACACAAAGCAGAGAGGGAATCAGCGCTCCCATACCATTGAAGTCAATGCTTTTATTGGACAAAAAGCATTACTCATATATAGTGCTTGCTTGGAACTGACTTTGTTAAGTTCAATTTCAAATAAATGAAAGGGGAAAAAGAGTTTTGTGCATTAGCACAATTTTTTTTCCTTAAAAAAAAAAAGTACTTAGCTTCAAAAACAAAGGGGAAAGAAAAGCCATTCTGAGACAGATTTGAGTTCTAAGAGAGGACACTTCCACCTTGGGTGAATCTTATTCCTGGCAGTAATGAGGTTGGAATCCTGCCTTAAAACGTCCTGGATTTTTAAGACTTGGACATCGTCTTCATGGAGGCAAAATGGTTCTGTTGCCACTGTGATTTCTCAGGAGTAAAATCCCCAACGAGTAAATATCAGAGGAGAGAGCCTCAAAAACCTAAACTGCAATGTCCTAAGGGAGGTATTGAGATTTCACAGGAAAAAATCCCATTTACACACAATTTAACAGATCTGCCCTTGTGCCTTCGGTTCTTTGCCCGCGATCGGCAGCCTCGGTTGTCAGTGCTGTTAGTATTGGTGGCACAAAAATGGCCACCTTTGTCCCTTCGATTCATCAGATCCAACTCTGAGGCCCCAAAGATACTGTCTTCCAACTGTGGGGAAGAAAATTCCAATTGTGTGGAGACATTGTAAGGTGCCATAGGCGAGATTAGCTGTAACATCCGGTCTCCTGAAGGGGAACAGGTAAGGGCCATCCCTCAACGGCAAAGTGGAAATTTAGGTTCCCTGAACTTGACCTGCTGTCTGTTAGGATCCAAGAGAGAAGCTGTTTCTCTCCCAAGGCCTGGTTCAAATAGGGCCTCGGAAGCTGGGAAGGGCAGTGATAGGACTCCCTTCCCTTGGGTCCAAAGTACCTGGCAGAAAACAGACACAGAGGCCTCTGTGAAGAGAGTGACCTGGGATCTGCTGAACAGTGTCACTGCACTTGGATCCCCTTCAGGGCAGGGAAAACAGGACAATCGTACCTGCCCCAAGGGGTCAGAAGACAAACGCCTTCCGTACAGAACCTAAAGCCAACAGCAGCAAAAGGGCGGTCTTTAGGAACCCACTGCTCGAATGCTCTTCCTTCTGCTTACTATGGTCTAGAACAGCAAATGGCAAAAATTGCCCTCCGTGCCATTTATTTTTATCAAGAGAATGAAGCTCAGGCTGAAGCCTCATTTCTGAAGCAGCTCAAAGTGGTGCTGCCCTGAAGATGGGATGGCTCCCCCATAGCCCCCTGACCCTGGTGTGGCAGCATCAAGAAGGAAGGCTAGAAAACACTGCTCTGTGTGCCCCCCGCCAGGGTGGGGGGGAGGTGCTTGTGAAAATGCGGATGCCTGGTCCTGAGTCTCCAGTACCGGCTCAGGAACCTGCATTGTTAGCCCGTTGCACAGGGGGTTCTTACTCTGGCCACACTCTGAAAACCCAGGCTCTAGAGGCCTCCAGCTTCATGCTGCCTCAGGAGTTAGAACCCTAACTGCAACAGTTAGAGAGGCCGGCAGGGGCCCGCAGGTCCAGGGGCAAGGCATGGTCCCGGGACCGTTCTGGGGCTATCTGTGCCACTTTTTGTAGCCCAGAGGGGTTCTGAACAAGTGCATGCATGGGCTCCGTTTTCCTGCACCCGGCCAAAGAGCCTACATCTTTTGTCAAAATAACAGTAGAAAACTCTAGGAGGGGTGTGTGTGTGTGTGTGTGTGTGTGTGTGTGTGTGTGTGTGTGTGTGTAGGTGATGAGGGATCAGAAGGCAAGCTGAGGACAAAGCAGAAGCTCACACCCCACAACCCCCCCCCCCACGGGATATATGTGACATTCCTCACGCACTCCTAGCTGCCCTAAATAGTTAAGAGTTAAGGTCTTACAGAAGTCACAATCCTACAAGACAGGAGTCTCCCTCAGTTTACACAAGTCTTAGCAATTTACAAGAACAAAGCAATTCTATCAATGGTCTTCCAGAAGGGAATGTAAATACAATTAAATGTCATTATAATCTATAACCCATTGACAAATACTTGAAGCAGGCAAAGTGTAATGTTCCTTCAGGAAACTCCCAACTATCTTACTGTTAACGCCTTACTACAGGGGTAAACAACCTTAACTTGACAATGGCAAGGCCTCCGGTATCCTTTAACATGTGAAACTTCTTTCTCGAAACCTCCCTTTTTCCTCATTTCCCCCAACCCCATAGTATCTAATCAGCCACCCCCCCAACCCCGGGCAGCAGCTCCTTCTGCCCACGGGTCCTATGCTTTAATGAACTACCATTTTGCATCAAAGACGTCTCAAGAATTCTTTCTTGGTCGTTGGCTCCAGACCTCACCCCACCAAACCTCACCTATATTCGAAAACCACATCAGAGGGGGCGATACTGGGGAATGGGAAGGAATTTCTCGTACTCGTTCTAAAATGGTTATAGTTCAGTCCACGTGGTGGCAGCTGTTAAAATGACCCATTTCCTAGCCCTCCGATTGGAAACAAAACAAAAAAACTGGAAGGAAAGGAAAAGGTCCTGAAGAGCCTCCTTGTTGGCAGCTCTGAACAATGGGCAAGTGCACAGATCCAGCCCCAGCTTCGGGAGGGACCAAAAATAGAACAGAAAGCTGGACCAACCAAGTTACTGTGCTTGAGACATTTCAGCTCCTAAAGGAGGATGGGGTAAGTGTAGAGGATGGAGGAGGTGGACAGCAGAAAATCAGCAGGCAGAGCCAGGAGGCCTCCATCCAGAAGTAGGTCTCGAGAGGAGCTAATCATGAACTGTGGGGGCCTTGGAAAAGCCACAGAACAGAACACACACACTGCCTGGAAGATGAGAGGAGTTCCCAAGGGTGCCCTGCAACTTGAGGAACCCATAATTTTTTTTTTATTTATTTGATAGAGAGAGAGACAGCGAGAGAGGGAACACAAGCAAGGGGAGTGGGAGAGGGAGAAGCAGACTTCCCGCGGAGCAGGGAGCCCGATGCGGGGCTCGATCCCAGGACCCTGGGATCATGACCTGAGCCGAAGGCAGACGCTTAACGACTGAGCCACCCAGGTGCCCCTAGGAACCCATAATTTTAACACCACAATCCAATATCACTGGGGGTAAAGGGTGTGCGGGAAAACACGGTGCAGGGGGGGGGGGTGGGGAGGCGGGTAGGGGGCTCCCGTCCAGGAGGTAGGACTTACTTCAAGCATCCAGAAATTGCTTCCTCTGCCTTTTCTAGGACAGAACTGGCTCAACGGTTTCCAAAGATCATCCATGACCGTGGCAGTTCCAGAATCTCTATATGGCAGGGGCTATCGGACACCACCCATTACAATTTATGGCAGAATGAGAAAAGGCTAATGCCTATGTGGTTGACATGAATGTCTCTAATATTTCCAGCTCTCCTTTCCTTTCAGGCCCATGGCAGGACTATCCCTCCCCATGCTTTGGCGTAAGGTAGAGCCATGTAACTTGCTTTATCCCATAAAATGGGCCTGGCAGGGACAGGAGGTTCTCCCAGGGTGAAAGCACTTAAGAGTCAACGTAAGAGTCACCACACCTTCTCCTCCCTGGCTGCAACGGGTATGGAAGCAGGTGGGGCCAAGAGAATGAAACCGCCTGGAGTGTGGTGCCAACACAGCAGACGACTTGCCCTGGAGAGTCATTTGGGTCCACAGAGAAAGTGACATGATCCAGAAGTAAAATTCCGTGGTGTTAAGGTACAGATTTGGGGGAAGTGTTTGTTACCAGAGCCTAACTTAGCCCGTCCTGACTCCCGCAGTCCGTATCAAAGAAGGCGAGCGTAGGGAGACCAGTGGAGAGGATATTTGCCCCTGCTCTGTGCTTCTGCCAAGCCACCACAAAGATGAAGATCCATTATTCTTATTATTATCATGATTAACCAAAAACAAAGTTTTTGCGACAAATGCTTTCCGCATATGGGTGCCTTCAATCCTCCCAGCAACACCGTGAGGTGACTCTGCTATCACTGTGTACGGTGTGGAAGGGTTTATGTAATGTGCCAAGGGGTGGGCAGAGTCAGAATTTGAACCCAGATCTCTGTAGAGCCAACCCCTGGAAGGTCCCAGTGCCCAATAAACTAAGCATTCTGTGAAAAAGAAAAATACCAGAATATTCATGGAGTCGGTTCCTATGTTGAGTTGGTATTCCCAGCATGAGGAAGCTAAGGAAGGGTGGTTTTGAATTTGGCTACCTTTTAGACTGGAAACAAAAGAGCGAAACCTTCATCTCTTCACCCATTCCCCTCCAAATCTCGGGGGTCTGCCTCTCCTTTCCTCGGACAAGGCCTGAAGGAAGAAGGGAAAAAACAAAAGACTCCACAAGCATCTCTTCCCTGTGCTCCTTGAGAGGGAGCCAAGTGGAAGCAATAAGGTTTCTATCCACTTATAAGAAATGGGATAAACTACAGGGCATCAGAAAAGAACCAGAGGGCTATTTCCTCCAGAGTGGCCAGGTTGGAACAGTTTTCTCTAAGCTGTTGCTGGTCTCAGCCACCCATTCAACAAATATTTTCTCCCGAAGGGATAAACAGTCCTGTTGATTTTGAAAATGAAAAACATGATACCTGGATAACAAACCTTATTTCCACAATCCCTTACGGGTTTTTCTGTATCCCACGGCATTCTGAAAACCGAAAACGTGTTCACGTCCGGTTAGTGACCCCAGTCATGTGAGGGCGTTTATGGTCTTTATGCCACTAAATGTGAATATTCATACATTTGCTGAAGACAAATCAATGTGTTTGATTATTGACTAAGTCACCACCCTAGAGTCTGCTGGGGCCAATACATAATGTACCATATGCTTATGGCATTTCCTCTCAGATTCCAATAACTCCTGCATCTGAAACACCTCTGGGGCCCAAGGATTTTAGATAGGGAACCCGACTTTTACTTGAAAGTCTCCCTCGCTGGGCGCCTGAGTGGCTCAGTTGGTTAAGCGACTGCCTTCAGCTCAGGTCATGATCCTGGAGTCCCGGGATCAAGTCCCACATCGGACTCCCTGCTCAGCAGGGAGTCTGCTTCTCCCTCTGACCCTCTTCCCTCTCGTGCTCTCTATCTCTCATTCTCTCTCTCTCAAATAAATAAATAAAATCTTTAAAAAAAAAAAAAAAGAAAGTCTCCCTCGCTAATCCCTACATAGTTTCAATGACTCGTGTGTGACTAACACCTGATCTTCCTCAAACAGTAATTGTCCCAAACCTAAGCGTTCATTAGATTTTCACTTCCTCGTGTAGACCAGGAAAAACGAAAAGTACATTACGAGCAGTAAATCTTCAAGCTGCCATAATGCTATGTGTCTATTCCCACAGCTCGTATTTTCTTTTTTCTTTAGAATTAGCATCGAATGCTGGAACTGGGATAGACCTCACAGATAACCCAAGCGACTTGCCCAAAACTGCAAAGAACAAGGTCCCTGGCTGCTGTATATTCTCTAACAGTGTTTTCCAAGTCATGGGTCGTGACACCTTCATCTGGGTAGCGAGATCAATTCACTTGCAACCCCTCATTTTCTTTAAAAAAAACAACAAAAAAAAGATGCAGCATAGAACAGAAGATGGCAATGTGCATCCCATGCAATTTCACCAAACTTTTCTTTTTGAACATGTGTGTAGGAATAAACACACACACCCCTGCATATTGTCACACATTTACTGTGGGCCATCATTCTACAAGCTTGTTCGCTACTATTCTGTAGTAAGCCACTCTGTGCATTTACTCATTCACTGGACAAATATTTAATGAAGGTCACCAACTGAGGCAAGCGAGGGATGAGGGGTGGGTGTATGGGCAGGGGGGAAAACTTCTTGGAGGAGATGGTGCTTGGTGGGTTTTGAGAGATGGGTGGCCATAATGGCACCCGAACAAAGACCATTATGTAATGTAGATAATTAGCGCTTTGGGATTGAGGCACAGCCCTGATTAATTCACACCTGCCCTGCCCACCTCATTGAGCTCGAAATGGAGGGTGCCATGCGAAAATTTGACTTTGTACACTTTTTCAAAATTAAAGGTATTTTTCTTCTTGCACTTAAAGCCAATAAAATGCTCTCACAGACACTCCCTCATTTGATGGTCCACATTATATGACGAGTGGGACAAAAACTGTTTCTCTCATTTGACAAAATAGCTGAGATTGTCTTTCCCAGAGTCACATAACTAACTACTGTCAGCTCAAACCAGGGCTCTTTTTTAAAAAAGATTTTATTTATGTATTTAAGAGAGAGCGAACACAAGCCGGGGAAGAGGGAGAGGGAGAAGCAGACTCCCCGCAGTGCAGGGAGCCCGATGTGGGGCTCGATCCCAGGACCCTGGGATCACGACCTGAGCCGAAAGCAGATGCTTAACCGACTGAGCCACCCAGGTGCCCCTCAAACAGGAGTCTTAACTACAAATTCCAGGCTCTTTTTAGTATTCTATTTTGGTACCAAATACATTATTAGCAGGTCCACATATTACCTCTCTTGGGTCTAACCACATTTCTAAGAAGATACTCTGAGAGATCATTGTGTACCGAGCGCAGGGCATTTTGACTCATAGCATGTTGAGGCCCCTGTCTGGAAGACAGGCAGATCTCCTGGGGCCTTTTCAATCATATTGCATGGGGGAAGGGCTGAGGTGCAAGAGGCCACCTAGCAATCTGCTCAGGTATCAACTAACCCCATCCCCGAGAGTTCTGGCTGGCTGTGTGCTGATGACCACACTGGGCTTGTCACCAGCTGAATCACGGGCATGAGACACTTAGTTTTTCAAAAGGGCACTTGCACACAGTTATGTTGGCTGTGATTCAAGCCCCGGGCCCTCTTCTCTTCGCTAACTCAAATCCTCCCCCCACCTCAACCAGGGGGATCTCATTCATTTCAATGGCTTTTCCGTCATCTCTGTGCTGATTTCACCCAAACTGGTGTCACCAGCTCAGACTCTCATCTGCACTCACTCTCATCTCTAACTGGATGCCTCCATCTGAATACCTGAGAGGCAGCTTGGTCTATGACCACATCAAGCCCACTCCAACCTCAGGGCCTTTGCACTGCTACTTCCTCTGCTTGGACTGCATGGCCCGTTCCCTGGCTTCCTTCCAGTCTCTGTTGTAACGTCTCCTTCTCAGGAAGCTCATCCCTGTCTGTTCGCACCCAGACTCAATCCTCTTATGCTGTGTTACTTTCCTTCATTGCACTTATTACTTGACCTTGAGTTATATAACTCACTCTGGGCTTATTTTCAACCTCTCTCTCCAGATGCCTGGCACTAAGAACAATGCAGGGTACACAGCTGAGGCTCAATACATACATACAATGAATGAGAAAATGGCATACATTATCTTACCTCGACGTCCTGTGACACATGTGGCTTTGTCCCCTTTTGACAGATTCTCAAACTCACAAAGGTGGTAAAGACCTCAGGAATCCTCTCAGCCAGGCCCCTAATTGCACAGATGAGGAAGCTGGGACTCAGCATGGTACACTGGCTTACCCAGGGCTGACTGGTAGGACCCAGAGCCAAAACCTAAGCTGGGGGTTCCTCAGTCCAATGCATTTCTCTCCACCCACCAAATTAAGGTACACAACCCTGGCGAGACATAAATGCCTATAAACTTAGAATGGTGCCTGGTGCTTTTTTATAGTAATAAAAATTATTAATATCATACAAAAGATAATAATAGATGATAATATGTCGCCTGATCATCATTCACTAATCATTACTAACTACAGCATGCTAGTAACGAAGCTCCCAGAAACACAGGGAAAGGCAGTTTAAAGTAATGGCTGATTGGGCACCTGGGTGGCTCAGATGGTTAAGCGTCTGCCTTCGGCTCAGGTCATGATCCCAGTGTCCTGGGATCGAGTCCCGCATCGGGCTCCCTGCTCCTTGGGAGCCTGCTTCTCCCTCTGCCTCTCTCTCTCTCTCTCTCTCTGTCTCTCATGAATAAATAAATAAAATCTTTAAAAAAAATAAAATAAAGTAATGGCTGACTTTCAGCTCAGGTCATGATCCCAGGGTCCTGGAATCGAGCCCCACATTGGGGTCCCTGCTCAGCAGGAAGCCTGCTTCTCCCTCTCCCACTCCCTCTGCTTGTGTCCCCTCTCTCGCTGTGTCTCTCTCTGTCAAATAAATAAATAAATAAAATCTTTAAAAAAAAAAAAAGTAATGGCTGACAGATCAGATCGAACTGCGGGATCTGACAGCCTTTTTATCTCCAGCCAGAAGGAGCTACAATACCCGCATTTAGATCTTGGCTTGACCACTCCCTTGCTACGTGATCAATTACTTAGCCTCTCCGTGCCTTAGTTTCTCCACTTGTTAAATGGGTATAATTATAGTATCTTCATAGGGCTCATGCAAGAATTAAAGCAATTCGTATGTACAAAACATTTAAAATAGTAAGTGCTGTCTGTGTATTGCTGTTCTACTCATTTTAATCACAAGGAGAGGATCACAGCTCAGCAAAGAAGGGCCTCGAAGAGTTGGAGGAAGATGTGAACATTTGAAATGGATCCCAAAGGACAGATGGAGGGGTTCGTTTTGTTGGGGAGTAGATGAAGTTGTGACAGGCAGCGGTGATGGGAAAACAATATCCCCAGCAGGGAAATGGCCAGAGCAAAACACAAAGGTGAGACACGGGGAGACATGCCGTCGGAACAGCGAGCGACACGCTGGGCTGTCTCTGGCGTCGGGTGGGAATGAAGCCTGCATCAGATAAAGCTGGAAAGAGAGACAGATGGGTGGTCAGGTCAGAAAGGGCCTGGAAGTCAGGCTGAAGAGTTCAGATTTTATTCTTCCAGCAAGCAGGAGCCCTGAGGGGCTCTGAATAGGGGAGTGACATTAAGAATCCTCTGAGGAAGACAATTTCATCCTGACATCATGTGGCGTAAATTATCTTTGACTCTACAGCTTGGGTAAAATTGGTTGCCAAGCTCCCAGGGGGAAGGGAAGGCAGCTGGGGATCAGGGCCTGCTTTGCAGACACACCTCTGGATCCTGCAGTTTGATCTGATCTGTCAAGCCTACAAAGAACACACTGACTTTGCTGTTTCTTAATATGGATTCTGTTATCACCTTGTCTAACATAATTCTGTTAGGTAGGGTGCTACCCAGGCAACCAGAAGCAGGCATGGGTTTAGCCTCAGCCACAGCAGCTGGTATCCGAATCATATCGGTGGGCAAATGGGTCACATGGCTG